GAGCGGTCTATGCTGCTTCACGAGGAGTAACAGGCGTAAGTAAGTAAGTATATGTACCTGGTGCCCCTTTGTACCAATACTTGTGTTCAAATAAACAAATAAATAAATAAATAATGTCTCACAATGGGACTATTTAACAAATACAAGAAAAGTTAAGCATACTAGAGTTTTAATGTATTCAGTGCAAAAAATTGGAAACTCCACAGGACGAAAAACAAGTAGGAAAAAGGTTAACAAGACTTACTGTCCGATAACTTTAGATGCCTCTGCCCAGTAGCGCAATGCATTTCGATTATCTCCATGCCTGTACAAACATCCTGCCAAGCATGTATACGGATAAACATGATGATTAGAATAATAGTGTTGATTGACTAAAATAGCACGATTGTAAAGAGCCAAAGCCAGTGAAACAGTTTCTGGTAATTGAGAATTTGGCCAGTCTGCCAGTTTTATATGTGAATTTGGAATTGAAGTAGTAGTAGCAGTAGTAGTGGACGGTGAAACAGATGACGAGCAGCTAGACTGATCCACCAAAACATTTAATTCATTCGTCAAACCACTATTACATTTTAAATTTGTTTTAACTGATGAATGTAATGAATTTAAATATGTAGCAAGTCGTCCCATAGTAGGAAATGCATCTTCTAAATCACCTAAATTAGTTAATCCCAAAGGATATCGTGATAGACAACCAGCATCGAAGCATAACCATAAAAGTTGATGCTTTAATGTAACCAGCTAAATGTAGGATAAAGAGGAATAAACAAGTCGTTTTTTTTTTCATTAAAAAGTAGTGAAGAAAAATCAAGAAACAAACGATATTCTGGATAAAACAATCAATTCAGTCGAATCGAGTGCTTAGTTCTTTCAAAGTTGTGAATTACATTGTTTGTTTACCAAATCGGTAATAACAGTCTACATATTAGTTTGGTCAGTCGGATAGTACTACTACTAGTCATTAAATACAGATCAACTCAAAGTTGAATATGTGAATTGATATTTGATTAATGAATTTTGTTTATTTTCTAGTGATGAAAAGATTGAAACCCTTTTTATCAGTTAATATTAAATTAACACAAATTAAATGCTATCATCAAGACATTTCTATTGTACGGAGCTGAAACTTAGGGAACTACCACAACCATCATCAAAAAAGTACAAGTGCTTATAAACAATTGTCTACGCAAGATAACCCAGAACTGTTAGTTGGGCACCACCAGCAACAACCTACTGTAGGAGAGAACAAACCAGCTTCCAGATTAAAAGGAAATTATGAAAAGATACTGGAGATGGATAAGACATACATTGCGGAAATCGTCAAACTGCATAACGACACAAGCCCTAATATGGAATTTTGAAGGGAAAAGTAACACATTGAGTCAGGAATTGGAGAAAGATATCAAAATAATGAATAGCAATTGGAAATAACTGGAAAGGACAGCCCAAGACAGAGTTGGTAGGAGAATCCTGGTCGGTGGCCTGTGACTCTTTATAAGGGATAACAGGCTTAAGTAAGTAAGCAGATTTTATTTTTTTATGCACATATATTCGATTTGAATTACTTTTTCATAAAACCAACCAGTTCACTTCTCGAAGGTAAGGTCAGGATTAGAATGAAAACTTTCAAAATCAATCCAGTCTACAGAATTATCGATCATGAGATAATAACCACACTTCGAGTTTATATAAAATAATGAATTTCGAACAAACACAAAACAAATAGTTGTTAGAAAAATTTTTGAATTGACAGCTTAAACACAGTTCTGAATCCATTAAGTCATGGGGTTTAAAACAAATTCTACCGTAACGTTAGTCATAGTGTAGTGTGCGCTACTGATGTCGACGGATAAAAGTAGTATGTATCACAAATCAAAAGTGAAATGCCTGGTAGTAGAATGTTAAGAAAATCGTAGAGAAGAGAAAGAGTGATTGGTGTGGGAACGAAGGGACAATCAAGTCTGAGACAGTTGATTGACACTCCGCAAATGGATTGTTTACTGTATGGTTCTCATATTTTACTAAGAGATTCTGTAATTTTGTGTTAAAACACATTTGGTTGTCCTTACTGGTGTTCTCGTCCACTGCATTGATAGTTGGACAGTATTATTAGTCTCATTGAAATCATGTTGGACCACCATGGATCGGTTCGTGATTTTGATGAAATTCAACAATCTTCACAACCCCAAACAGAAAATATTATTAGTCCTTAAATTCCCTAAAGATCTTGTGAACATATTATTGAGAATACCTTATCAATAGAATCAATCCTCGTCAAAAACCATTAAGATATGTAAGTAAAAGTTAATATGTGTTAGCTTTGCATCAGTAGTGTGATGATTATAAAATTTTGAATTTTTTTCGTATTCTAAACACGTGCAGTGATGCTTAAAGGTATGGGTTTGTTGGTAACAAGTTCTAGTCGATGGTTGTTAGACATCTTGCTCAAATTCAAACGGAGACAACAAAATAATGCAGGAACACTCATGTAGGCTTGATTTATGTAGTATTTATATACATGTATATATAGATTGTTTAAAGTTGCGGATAATTCTGGGGTGATTCAAACCGTTAAAGTTACTATCACTTACCTGCATCGAGATCACTGATGCTGATGATAAATGCTTAACTAAACCGGTAGGTGTAATAAGGTCACCACCGGAGGATACTGAAGGATTTGGTGAAAGCGTGCCATAAGCAAAAGGTTCTGAGGTTGGAGCTTGAGTGACAGCAGATAATGAAGCCCCTGGTTGTATCGCCGCAATCGCAGCAGCTACAGCCATTATGCGTGGACGACAAACTACCGGATATCCACTTACATAAAGCCAAGAATGTTCGAGTGGTGGAATGCGAATGGAAGGTGGATTATGCTCATCTTCAGTAGACGACGATGTTTTCCTGGTCCTACAGTGCTCTGTTTGTTGCACCGAGTCATCATACGAATTAGAGAATTCCGAATTATGCGAACTGGCAGATGTATGAGATTCTTGTACCCAACTAGCTACATCAGCTGTCTGACGAGATTCCGGAGGACCAAATTCAACCCAACCGTGGTCTTCGGATAGTGCTAGGTCTACATCAGAATAACCGAGGAGTTGGCAGGCAGCTACAACAGTATACGCCAATCCGAAACTATCTAGAATGCCCGCTATTAAAATTGAAACAAAAAATATGGTAACAATGGTTTAAGAACAATGATGTTTAGACAAAATGAATAAGTAGCATGAAAATTTAGTACAATCTCTTGGTCCGAATCAGAAAATCCATATGTCGGATAATGGGTATCATGAAATTAGTAAACAAACAAATTTGGCCAAAGTTCCGAGCAAAGTGGATCAATCAAAAAAATATGACTAGTCACTATGTAATCAAAAGCTCATGACAGAAAAGTAGGATTTGTGAGAACTCACGAAATAATAGCTAGATAAATGTGTACTCAATAACTACCAGGTCTTTGATAGTGAAAACTATGGGTTAATGGATAAAGCGTGAATATCTTAACCACTGGGTCCCGATTTCCACTTGCTTTGAAATGAAGGTGTTAGCGGGACATAGACCGGATTAAGGCATGCTCAATTCACGATTGCTTTGGTGCACGCTGATTGGCTAATTCTTATCTAATCAGCACTGGTCGATAGTTTGAGAATACTCTAGAATCTTCTCATGAAAAAAACTATAAATATACTGACGTTTTCTCTATTGTGCTTCTTACTGGCTTCTTGCTTCCATCTAACCTTGTTATTTGGAATATAATTTCTTTCCTGTTCAACCGTGTTCTGATTTGGGGACTTGTCGAGTGAATCGGTGTCCGAGAATACTAAGCAATAGGAATAGCTGGGTCATAACCGTAAGAAAGAGATTATAACAGAAAGTCTAGGTAGATAGACAAATGATGCACAAACATTGATATCAGCTTTGAAAACGGTAACTCTGATGAGAGATTAAGTGCTGCTAAATTTAAAAAATACAACAAATGATATAGAATAGAACTGTCCTTGATAGTACAAAGGTTGTTTTATTATATTCGGGGCTCTTATAAGACATGGCTCAATGGCGTAGATGTATGTTTTATATTAGCCTCTAATTCTAAATTTTTCATATTTGAAACTTTACATCCCTCGATTCCACATAAAATGGACAGAATTCGGCTAACAGTGGAAACCAAGACGCGCGTTTCGTCCTGTCCGGGACTCGTCAGATGGGTGTATCTGGGTATAGAAGTTGATGTTTACTTGGGATTCGAAACACTTTAGAACCCAACGGGTTATAGGATTAGCTAGTTAGTCAAGATACCCACTCATTCCTTTGTACAACCGAATATGCGCCTTGGATTTCACTGCTACTACACAATCTATTCTCCATAAACTTGTGACAATTGTCATATCGAGATAGTCCTCACAAGATGCACATATTCCAACCAAGACATTAAAATTCAGTCAAAATATCAATGACGAGGTAATCCAAGCCATTGCAAAATGGATTACTCGACTCTGTTATTCGCTTGTTAGGTATACTTTCCGTTTAATTCTCACTACGCTTAATACTAATATTTCAACTCCTTTGAATTCGTCCTAGTAATTTTCTTTTGCTGTAATGATGTAAAGTATGACAATTTGATAAACTGGACATATGTACCAAGTTGTTCGTTAATGACTCAAAGTGGTTAATGAGATGGCAACAAGTTAACACTAGGCTTTTATGACTGAGTGAAGCAATTTAAACTAAAATGATGCATTGTATAATATTTCTGTAACTGTAACGATTATGTAGTCACCAACCCAAAATTTTTTAGGTCTCGATGAAGTTAAGGTATAAATATTTACTAACTTGTTAGAAAAGAATACACGCTTTGTGTGTGCGTCAATCGTTCTTTGACACGACTAGCTGTCATTTGGCTCCATAAAACTTCACATATGGCACAGATAAGTGCACGACATGCGTATTTCTTTGCTGGCGTTATTGTTGAAGTGCAGTGAAATTTCTGTGTTTTAGACTCTGATCCATTAATAAAAACTGATTGTGTCTGCTACAAAAGGTTTCAACTACAAAGAAGAATAAAAAAAAGTCATTTCTTATTACCATAAATTTAATTATGTCATCTACTTTAGATATGAAAAAGGGTCATATTTCTCTTGGCGTATTTGATTGTTATTTGTGCATTCGGGAATAAGGCCTTAGTACTCTGTAGAAGAGTACATTTTAGGCAGTCCACCGTGAAAATAAACGAAAATTAAGAAAAAAATGTTGAGGCTAATTTATAATATATATATATATATATATATATATATATATATATATATATATATATATATATATATATATATTACTCAGTGCATTGATATGAGGATGGATAAGAATTAGGCAGTTAGATCTTAATGCGATGGAATAGTTAGTGACCCATGAGGCCAATATTTTTTTAACTATTTATGCCAATTATTCATGTTTACTTTTCGGTAAATAATTTAAACACAAGTATGTTATTATACTAGATACAAAGGTACAACCAGAATTCTGGTTGAGCCTTTCCGTTTCCACCATTATTATTATTATACTACCATACACTAATCTGTGGTCGTTATTTTTCTTTTTTTCCTATACTCACTTTACCTTTTTCCCTTCCCATTCTCATTGTTTGTGTGGCGCATATATATCCGGTGCCCCCTTGTACTAATATTTATGTTCAAATAAATAAATAATAAAATAAAAAGATGCAAAGCACATTATCCTGGTTAGTAATCGTATATTTGGCATCGGTTCATTCAGAGGTGTTGCGAGCAACCATCACATTGTCACACTGTATTATGAAGTTCTTCCATAGACCAATAGTGTCTCCATGCATTTAATAATTCTTCAATCCCAAACACTACAGAGCAAAACAATCTTCTCCCACATGAACAAGGGTAAGACAAATGTGGGGTATAAATTTAGACAAATATCGTGCCGCTGGTACAGATATCCAGTTATTTTACTTGGGATATTTAACTAATGATCTCTAACATTTTATAGACTAATCAACAAACTATAATCTCATTACATAATACTGGGTGGTATAATACAGATCAGTTTCATGATTTTGCTCAGTTTTACATAATTTGCTTTAATCGTATTAACGTCGGTACACGTAACATTAGTATCAGTGATCATTACATGCTTACACTCTTCTCGACTGACTTGCTTTTCTTGTCTAAAACTACTTGTAGCTTTTCACCAAGAGAAATAAACAGTGGATGCACCATAAAATCTAAGTGGTAGGCCTAAAATTACTAGCGAGTTTCAGACTCACTGACTAATATCATGAACTGATACCGTAATTTGGTCATATTACTTTTAGATGACCTTTTGCATATTACACCTCAATCAACATAGAACATAATGAAACAGTAACTGAATTTAAATCAGTGACTGAGTACTAGTTCATGTACTAGGGTATTTAAGTCATCTTTGATTAAACCCAACAATACTATTGTTTGGAAATGGGGTTTACTAGCTAGGATCCAACTAGTTAAGCTACTGAATCACAATCCTACACCAATGAATAAAGTGAAAATATGGCTATATGTACAGCGCAATTCCCCCAGTCTATTAAGTGATATTTTATTTTAAATAAAGCGTAATAGTAATATAAAAACAAAATAATAATGATAATAAAGCAGGCTGATTAATAACAATTTAAAATTACTAAATAGTGAACTGTAAAATAGGAGCGAAACAATGTGCAATTTAAACACATGCAAATGAAAGTTTACAAGTACAGTACGCTTGAAATACTTTAAATATTTTAACTAAAAGTAATTGAGGGATAAATCAGATAACTCATTAAAACTCACTTTAGGAGAATTAGTGATGAGATTGTAGAAATCTAAATACAAGCGTTCAAGTTCATCAAATGTTAAACATGGAAAAGCTGAATTTGGTATAGTGCTATCAGAAAATCGACGTCGCTTTCTAACTGGTATATCTGTGAGTATTTGTAGTGGTTCATCTTTAGCAGCAATGGTGAGTGGGGATTTAATTGCAGTTGCTGCAGAAGCAGATATTTCAGACTCGTTTTGTTGACGAACACGACGAGCAGAACCAAATCGTCTAGCACGACGACGACATACAGGAGATTCGTGAATAGCTTCTTGTAAGAATACATTTGATGACAAAGATCTGGGAAGAGAACTTAACTTATTGTTCAGTTCTAGGTGGTCATTAGAACCTTCTGACTGTTCCTCTGGTGTTTCAAGATGAACAGATAAGGGTGATTGTGATTTTGTAAGAGAAGATGAACGTGAACGGGGGTAATTTTGAGGTAAATTTTCCTTTCTTCTGGATACAAGTTTGCGATGAAGAGTATTTTTTAGTTTTATGGAATCAAAGTCTTCTGATGTGCTAGAAGTAAGATGATTTTCTATGTAACCTAATACAATAGATATGAAAGCCAAATTAGGCTCTTTGATGGAGGAATCGACTCCAATGTCACACATCTCAGAGTTATTGATGGTATTAGTTTCCAGATGCTTCATTCCTGTCTGCTCATCAGAAAAAACTACTCCACAACTAATAAACACTTCTCGCATCAATTCGATGACTGCATCAACAGATGATAGAGTGAAGTAGCGACGCCATGCTCGGACAGAAATATTAGACGCACCAGCTCGGAGCGTCATCTCCGTGCAACTAAATAAAAAAATTCATGAAAATCGAGACTTAACTTCAAGGAACGGGGTAACTATTATTCCAGAATGAATAATGAAGGTCGTATGCACTGGATTTTCAGTCATAATTTTAATGCGATTCGCTTTTTTCTGGCAAATCGTGTAACTTGGTTTATCAAGACGATAGTCATGTCAACAACTGTAAATACAATTTACTGTCAATTAAACAAACTGATTTGAAGTTATGTTCTGCCAGTGACTAAGATTTACACTTTATATTTTGACAAACGAGTCGGATCGATGGGACTTAGATGAAGTAACATACATATCCCTTACATTCACTTGTATGATTACATAACGTTGGAGGCAAAACTACAATAACTGGTTAAATCGGGTTTATATGGTGGTTTATAGGTATTTCGCCCGATTAGCATGTCTGAAACTATCTTGACTACAAATCGATTAATGGATAATCTTTACTTATAGAAACAACTATTTGAACTTGTACAGTTTAACTTAGAAATCACTATCAAGTTATAATTTCGTAGATGTAAAATGTGTACCTGGTTCTTCACTCAGATGATGACCAAGTACTAGCCATCATAACTAATTTGCAACCTTCTTTATGTACCAGTCAAGAGGACGTTTTCGAGGTCACGTTGGCATCGCTCAATGATTCATAAATGACAGTCTCTTCGATAATCTTTGTGAAATCAGACGCCATATTCGGTTGTTTAAACCTCCTTCTGATTTTGCCAAATGCAAAACGTTTTGGTAAACGTAAGCCAAACTATTGAATTTATTAGATTTAAGATAGTAGCTCTTTGGCTTCTTGTGTAAAACCCAAACGCGATGACAGCCAGTGGCCCATTAAGAGGTAACTTAAACTTAATATTTGATCACATTCTGAAAAACTGGTAAGCACTAGAAGACGGAGGAACACAGAAAAACTTGATGACAAGTTGGTAAGTTCTTTAATTAAAAAGAGGAAACAAATGGCAAAAAAGTTAACGCTAAATATTATCATGATTCATGGAGTCTCGAAAGAATCCTAACGACAATTTAGCCGATTATTTGTCATTAGACTTATAAAGCACCCTTTCGCTATCACCGTATAAGTTTGCTATAAATAATACTTACGGTTACGACAGTTTGCCTGATGTAAATCTTTTGCCCTTAGATTGAATTACTTCGCAACTAAAAACCGGTTTATAATCATGTCGAAAGTAGCTTAGTGTCGTCATGACAGTCTACTTCGATTAACTTTTCATATGACTGCCGAAAAATATTCTAAAGTAACTACTTCTGAAATATTATGACACAGTTATTATGTATGAACAACACATTCGCATGAAAAGTGTTCAAAATAATCTAAAGAGCTGTTAAAACTGGAATGAAACTAACACAAGGTTACTTCTAGGTGTGGACAATCACTTGAATAGAAATAACAAGGAGTTGGCCGAAAAAACAAACTCCCTCCATAATCTACACAGTTACAAACAAAAGTTCGCGATAATTTCAAAGCAATTCAGATATCTATGAATAAAGAAGAAAAAGACTTGTAAAACACTATCCTCGTTTGCTAATAGCCGTTGAACGCTTCTGTTGTTTACTATAAATTCAAGTTATTGAACTACGAGGTTGAGAATAGACGGTTAATGATAAATTGAAACATCATCTACATTCACTTATTAATCTTCATTCTTTGACTTAGAAAGACAGCTAAAAAGCATTAGTCCAGGGTTTCAGTTTTAGATACAGGCAACACACTCTGGAGGTCAGAAGTATGGTGCATAAATAGCCTCGTGTCGTCATCCGAATCACTTGAGCACATACAACTCTAATTTAAATTGTGGACTGAATAATGAATACGAAAATCGACATGTTAGGAATTTATAAAACATGCGTCAATAACTACCTTTATTTATTCTTGTTACAGCAAATACGGCAACAAATATTGACAAAAAATAATAGTGGGTTTAGTAGAAATGGACCTTAACACTCGCAAAGGAAATATTAAGGGCCTAAAAAGGGAGCTGGACGAAGCACACTTGATAGGCAGCTGTGGAGTAGACAGAGCGAATTTGCAATGAAGCAAGTCCAATGGCATTTCAACTCTCCACCATCTAGCCACAGAGGTGGAGCATGGGAAAGGAGGATTAGATCTATACACCAGCTGTTAATCACCAGGGAACAGAATTTGATGAGATTTTAACCACTTATTCGGTTAAAGTTAAAAGAACAACAAACAATCGATCCTTAATTCCAGGCATACTTTCATAAGTCCTACTCGTTCTTCGATTATATAGTAAAATGGACCATGACTGAAGGTACCGAAATAGCCGTGTGTCGCATAGAGAGATCATACAAGTTAGTGTAAGATCTTTTTTGGAAGTTCTGTCTACAACAATCCCTCCATGTACACACTATTGTGACTGGTTCTTACTTTTCATACCTTACCTATGCTGTGTTGCTACAGTTTTCTGGAGTTGATCATTCTCAACTGTGAACTCAAACACTTCCAGAAATAAAAACGCTCTGTGTTGTGATAAAATTGAACATTATCTTTAGAACAATCTGTACAGGATCTATCCAAGAAAGGTTAGGATAACATTCCTATATTGATAGTATTATTTGTTTGTTGAACTTGGTGATTATCCTATAAACTTCATCAGTCCACTTAACGCAAACTGGGTTTGACCACTGACTGAACAATTATTGGCCGAACAGCTGGTTGGTAATGGTGTACGAATAAATTTACAACAGAATTTAGGACCGTCATTTAACCTGTAGTGGCATTTGGCCCAAACCACATAATCCTTAAAGCTGAACACTAGACAACTGCGAAACCAGATATTCAATATTCAGCGCAGAGAAAAACCCAACGATGAGGAAGGCCGGAAAAATGAATCAGGTGAATTCGAATTGGTCGGACGGCATGGCTTGGCCCTACAGACGTGGTCGATCTGTACGACTTGCTTTTACTCACACTAAATATATTATTGTATCTCTAGCCTAAGTTTGCTCTCCATTATGTTATAATTCTTACGATACGATGATTCAGTGTAGACAATGACGTGGCTTCCACGTAAGATCTTATGGGTTAGGTAGTTACATCATGACAAATGTACAATTTTAGGGCTAGGTCTATTATAAGAGAAGCACTAATATCATAGTAGACCATAACTCTAAAACCCAACCACTTTGTTTTGGTTTAAACTGGGTGATAGTCCGTACCTAAACTAACCTGAGCAGCTATTCCTCATTTCATACTGCCTTGGTTTCGAAGCCACAGTAATACCCTTGTAGCGGTAAATAAATCCCCAAAATAAATAGCTCTGTAAATTTTCGACATTGCATGCTGACCAGATTAGTTTTAGTGGACTCACCTAGCTGAAGGCGCTCGGTCATGCATGCGCGCCAGATCACGTGTGGGAACGCCGTGCTCAACATCTACTGCAATCGCTAGCCAGACTAGATCAGATAATTCCGATATATTGGCAATCGTCAAATACAACTTCTGATCTCCTCGGTTCTGTCTTTTGATTCCTCTTGGTGGGTTATATTAGAAGGTGTTACTGGTAAAAGCGTTGTCAAACATTGAATACCTGTGCCATCTTCACCCTACTGTGGAAGAGAAAAAAAATCAGTTTCCAGCTTAGGATGAAGTTATGGGAAGGTTTCATAACTGTATGAAACGCATAACTGAGACAAATAAACTAAATCGTAAGTTAAACCTTGATTTGGAATCCTCAAGATAATTGACAGGGCTCGGGGGCAAGTAGAAAAGAGAGTTCATGACGGAGTTTCTTGTTTTGTCTTACTGAAGTCATGACAGTTTAAGTGGCGGAAATCCATGCATCCAGTTAGGTCTCAACGGTGTTAACTTATCACCTTACAAGTAATTTCCCTCAGTTGATGGCTGTGATCCTCGAGAACAGATTGGATCTTGTGGGATCTGATTCCATCGTCGTTAATAATGAACTTATTTGTGCCACTAGATTGTGGACCTAAATTAGTACTTCTGACTTTCCATGATATAACTGTCCAGTTTATGTGATCTTACGTTGCAATCGCGTAATTTGTCCACCATAACATCCCTTACCGTGGATATTGAAGTATCATGCTGTATAAGGACCTACAATCAACAAGCAAGATCTGGACAACAGAATACTGTATTCAACATGTTCAAATAGCATTTTTAGGCCATATATTATCGACAGCTAAACTTGATCGACCTCCCATGGTGCAGGTGGCCAATAGTACGGCCATATATGAGAAACGCGGCAAAACAACGGTAGACTCCTTCAAATCTGCCCGCCGTTTCGTTTCAGCGGCTTTGAAAGGCCTGACTAGAAGCAGTCATTCCGTAGTTCAATTGCCGTGGGTATGTTGGGTCGTATGAGTATTAAGTTTTTCCATATTTAGGTCATCTTTTGCTACATGAAAGTGTACAAAACGACTGGTAAGAGCATTAGCCTAGCATTCTCTGCTTTGAAGTGTACACTTCAGCTTTGTTGTTCCTTCGTAACTTGATCTGTGGTCCCAAATGCTGTGGTAAACGTCAACATCTTTATATAATTTGTCGATAAGGTTCAGAAAGCAATATAAGAAAGATAAGATAACGTAAAAAGTTATAGATACGCAGAGTTTTTGTGAGTCGCTGTTAAACAAAAAAGTTAAGACGAAATGTCAACTCAACGGTAAGTCCTAAATATTTGTTGTACTTCTTTCAGCTAGCATTTTTTCCAAGGAATAAATTTTTTAAATAATTAGTGTGTTGTTTGTAGTGCTTCATGCTCAAGTGAAATTTCAGTGGACGTAAGCGAGGCGTTTCAACGTGTTATACTAAACAAGCGATTCGGAAGCTGGATTGAATTTGATAGTGCTCTAAAGGATTTCCATAAAGTATGGAAGAATAATTCTATGTTTTTTCAGACTACCCATACTCACTATGGTCACACAGAAAGTAAATTGTTGAAGGATATGAGGCTTAAATACTTGTTTGTGGTGTTTCACTACACGTTTGGTCGTAAACGTAAATTCCAACGTCTGTCAGTGAATAAAAAAAACCGTGAGGACTTTAAATGACTTATGACATTTGAGGTCTAAGTTTTTAAACTCCCAATCCAGGTTTTGTATAGGATCGGAAGGTCAAGAATAGGTCATAAAATCTTACAACATGTCTCACAACCATCTTTGTATAGTTCATGGATGGTTTATGATCCGTGGAGTAGAAGATTGTCATCCGAAGAAAAATAAAACTTGAAGCCAGTAATACTGCACTCTCAGTCAACAGATGAAGTTATCGGAAGTATCAAGAAAAGAACCGGTAAGCAGGCTACCGCTGCTGATGTCAGAAATATGAAAGCTGTACTCTCCACTGGTAAGTGCATGGAGATATATTTCAGGTTGTACTCGAAAGCAGGTAATGCATATGATGAGACAAAACGGTGAAGTTAGAGAGCATGCAGAAAATGGATGTATTACGACAATATGCTTCAGCAGTTATGACCAGATACGGTTGTGTAACCAATATCCCGAAGTCGTGTGTATTGATTCGACTTATAATACCAATAATAAAAAGTGATTGTGCTCCATGGTCGTAGGCGGCCTGTAATGTTTGGTTGGACGAAAAAGGGAATGCGCGAAGATGTTACATGGATTCTAGAAAAATTCAAAGAAGTTATAGGAAATGCATCGAAAACCCAGACCTTTGTCATGGACTGTGCACGAGCAGAAAGCGCAGCTGTCCGTATCATACACGCTAAAGCAAACATTATTTTGTGCGCCTTCCACCTATGTCGCGCTTTCCGCAAAAGTGTACTAATCTTGATCAACATAAAATTGCCTTTAGACACACAATAAAATATTGAAAACGTACCTAAGTCGTTTGGTAACCGGAGAAACAGTTGGAAGGTACTTTTTGAAATGTATTTATTCAGCAGATTTAATCAATATTTCAGAATAATTAACCATAGAGACAGACAATTAGGTCAAAATCTTCATTGATTTTGGATGTCGCGCAAAAGTATTTCGCCGCTTGCGTTTTGTGGCAATGTTCTAACTCTGGGCAACGAAACGAGTAATCGTGTTGAGTCGCTAAACAGCTAAATAAAGAGCTATGTAAGGAAAACGGATAGTTTGTATAAATGTATATACAAGGTTTTCAAATGGAATGCAATGATATCCTCTAGAAAAAGTATTGAAGATCAAATAATAGCCGGAAAATCGTGTAAATATGATGCTTCACAGCAGCTACTTCCGTTGCTGAACATGCTAACGCCATTTGCATGATCAAAAGTGTTATACGAACTTAAAAAATGCGTTTTGCTTATGTGGAATATGAAAATGGCGACCGGTTGTTTACTGTTGACTGCAGAATGCATTATGGAGTGGATCTAAGCACTTGTGAG